CTAGTTGAGCAAGATCAATGAGAGAATTTCACTTTTGGAAAAAGCTTGCATACAATTTGAGCACTTTAACTGTTCACAGTCAGATGAGCAGACAACTCTCTTTTTTAATCATTGTGTAACTACATGTTGAAGAAAGTAGTAAAAAGATGCCTTTATTCATCTTTTAAAGGAGATTAACCTAAAAGTTAAACCTGCTGTGAAAAAATCACAACTTAGAGCAACATGTGATGCAATTGACATATATCCTTCAGTTTACCTCGCACACAAACTGTACTGGGTTTGCATGCCAGTTTTAATGGGAAGCTTTCACTGCTTGCCCAAGTGATACATAACACATTGGGTGTTATGTATTCATAATAGTTTAATACTGTATAGTCTGGGAGAAAGCAGTGTTACAAAATAACATTTTCAGGATAAATTATTATTTCGATAAAAACAATTGTGACTGACATAGTTTCAGCATTCCAGTGGATCATAATTTTCAGTTTTACATCAGGATCCACAGCAGCGAGAACAAGGTGCCTGCTGGTCACCTGAATCTGCATATATTCCTGCATTTTCAAGGTTTCTCTGCCTTAAAGCATCTACATATCCAGGTAAGATTGTAAAAGATGCTTCTAAGCACAATGAAGTAAAGTAATAAGAACAATGTTTCCGACCTAAAAATAAATTTTTCAACTCTTTTCCAACTTTAAGCCATCCCCAGCTCTTCTTCATAACAATTTCTTCCCAGTTTAAATTTTCAACAACTTTAAGCTTCAAAGTTTAAAGATAGATGTTCTTCATAAAACTTTTTGACACATTTCAATTCTAAACTATAAAAAAAGCTTGAAAATTAATTTTAGAACAAAATTTTCTATTGCTAGACCATTACATCTATGAAAACATTTTCCCCTTAGTGGAACATTCGTTTTAAATATTTAAAATTTCGGGATAATATCTAATAAAAAGTAAGATTTTAAAATATGAGGGTTGTGGCAAAAGTCACGGTAACAATTCTTTTTCTAAAAGAATGTTATCTGATCACACTATTTTATTTGTTACATGAAAGTAATGGTTTTCTAACATGTTCACAACAACAGATAGCTATGCAAGCGTCTCTAAACACTGAGAGCAATGGGAACTCGGTTGTCTGACTACCGCAGTGCGAGATGATAAATGAAATGAAACTTACTTTGAGCAGTGCTCATGCTCCAAGACAGCCATTCCCCATGGGAGAAATGTTCGAAAATGTCACGGGAAGTTGTGAAAGCTGATGGAAATAATGCCCATCCATACTGGACAGTTGTGATATGGGTAGGAGAGTTTCTCTGATGTCGCTTAGCAACCAACGACTAGCAACACACATGAAGACCTGTGAGAGTGCGGACCGATGTGACTTGTGTTAATGAAGTATCTGCCTAATCTGGCTTTTTACTGGTTGAATGGGTATGTAATGCTTCTGGAATGTTGTTAATTCATACATACTATTATGCTTTGGAACATGAAACCAGTACTGTCGTTTCAAATACCTTAAAAAATATGAAAAACACAATTTCTGTGTCATTAAATGTCCATGCACTCTTAGTTCAAACCTTGCCTTTTCATATTTCACATTTCTCACCCGCACCAGTATTCTCACAAACAAACTAAAAACAGTAGCTATGACTTATGCCCCAATCCTCGTAGAATTTAGTTTTCTGACATCTGATTTGAAGCATTATTAACATTGAAAATTTTGGATTCAATGCCAATGTTGTAACAGAAAAGGGTACTAATAAAAAGAGCAATTAAGCATGAAGATAAACATCACAAGCATTGCCTTACATACAACCATGAAAAAAGTTATGTTATCAAACTGTTATTTTACAAGTTTTCATTTTAATATGCAGTTCAATGTCTTGTACCATTGAACTACAATGTTGCCACCATTACATGATCAACTGACACTTCTCATGTCCCAAGCAAATTATTTGAAAAATTGGGTATAAGAGAGAGTATTTGAATGACTCAAGAGAGCCTATCGCATTACCACCAGTCATTAGCAAAGATTTAATGCTTCGATGGAATCTTACGCTCTGTTATGCTACTCTGATTGTATTAATAGTGAATTATATAATATTCACTATTATTTCATATTTGGGGTAATTAAATTATGTATTCCAGGCAGGTTAGATTACTCAGAATCATTTTTTGGAATTCTTGCACACAAGTATGTTTGGGCCCCTAAACATTCTTGTATTACCATTTATTTGTTGTCTCTGCAACACCAATTTTCACTTTTGAAACTTGTATTTTAAATCTATTATCAGAAAATACGTGCACATGATCCCCACACATCACAAGCAGATTTTACAGTTTTTTAACGAAAATAAATACAATAAAATTGAGAAAAATAAAAATATTATTTCTACATCATAAAACACTCCATTTTAATTTTTAAATTATGATGAGGTAGAACAGGTCTTTCTTTCACTAAAGCCACCTCAATTTTCAACTTGCAGAAAAATTTCAATAAATATAGTAATTATTTCATTTTTTGAAAAAGAAGTTTTAAAATCTTTTTTTTTTTTTTTTTAATTATTTTCCAAATGAAAATATTTGTAAAGAGCACATAATGCTTATTTAAAAGCATGACAATCATAGAGACATTGGAAAATTAAACTGTACAAAACACTTTTATTGTGTAGTGGTAATTTTTTTATTGGATGGGGGTTACGGAGCCAAAACTTATTGAAACAAATTTAATGTATGTCACATTCATTGTTCAAAACTTAATACTTTACACTTTTGGGGCAACTTGACAATCTATTGATCTTCTCAGCCCAGTTTTTTTTTAAATTTTAGCGGTCTATGGTACTCAAATAACACTTCATAAAAACTGCTGTAAATTAAAAGAATGTACCATAATAGTTTTCCCCCTGTACATTATACTACAAATCATTGCTAGTAATAATCCATAATAGTTTGCATCACACAGATCATTTGTTGAGTGTAGTTAAGATTAGAATAATAATGTTGCAACAAAAGAGGACTTTTCCAACTGTTTTGTTAAAAGTGTATGTAAAGCATTTCCTTACCACTCGTTACACAGACTACTCCACAAACGAAATTTCAGTCAATAACATGCTAGAATTCGAACCATACAACCAATAAGAAACAAATTATGCAAAATACTAACTTTTTTCATTTCTACCTCCTCAAAAGTGGTAAATATTGCTGCTGTTGTTTACAGAGACCTTTATATAATTCGGCTGATAACAACACATGCACTTTAAATGACAGTCTATTTATTCATTGCATCACATCAATGTAATTCAAAGTAATTCTTTCCTTCCACCAAGGTTCAGGCTTGCATAGGAAGAACAATTTTTTATGGTACCAGTCATTTCCCTACATTTTCATTGTATAATTTCTGCATTTTAATTTCTTTGCTTTTTCAGGTTTTCCCTATTTTTCAGAAAATCCACCCTAATTTACAAGGGATTTCTAAGTTAGTTAAAAAACAGTTATTAAAAACTTCTAATACTTAAAACTCTATGATGGATGATTTGTATATAAAAAATAAAATGGAGAATATTCAAAAAAGAATGATCGAATATAAACAAAGAAAATTAATATTAATAGTGACACCCACCCAATGTGTTATACATGTTAGATATGACAAACTGGCTAATTCACGAATTAGCTGGTTAAGTTCATATTATCCAAAAAAGTCCAAAGTAGGAACACCTTTGACACTTCAGACTTAAGCCAGGTGAGGTGCACACTAGCCAATACTAGGCGACTAGGGTAGGTGACATACATTACAATGAAGAGGAATAGCAAATATGCTTCATGTGATAAACAGGAATCGGACTGTTGGTGGATGCATAAGGCTAATGAGACGCAAGAAGGAATATTTCAAAATTCAATGCATCAGTTGAAAAACTTGATTACACGATACTACCTAACCTAACCTCACAATATTCCTCAGTTGACACTTTGTTATGCATTTCTAATTTTAGGTGTCAAGACTTCATCCTGTGCAATATACTTAAAACATTGAGTCTGTGCAACCTGATTTCCAAATTATTTTAATGCCAAAATACTTCTTGTGAACACACAAATTGGCTCACTCTGAATCACTTCAATCACACTTTAGTCAGTGCTCTGTGCCAACATTAGCCAGATGATATTCAAAATGATCCATTCATAATCATTCACACAGCTCTATCCAAACCATCTGACCATTGTGCAAATATACCAGCTAATCCATGGATCAACCAAATTTCAGATTGAAGCTTTAACATATTCTTGAAGAGAAGTAATCTCTTCTAATTACACATGTGTACCTATCAATACTTTATTAACAGAAACAATGGAATAAATTAACAAATCTGAAACAATGTTGCATGTTTCATTCCCTGCATACAGATTTGTACCAATACATATGTAACTACACAATAACGACATATCAAGGCCATTACGTTGAAACACATTCCCAAAAATGTACATTAATTTATAGTAACACAGTTATTTAGAGTTATACATGCCTTTGCAAATATAAGAAATATAAATCAATAAGGTTCAAACAATTACATTCTTGTTACAATCATAATCCCCAACAATCTTTTAAGAAAGAACTTTCTCATTTTTGTAAGGTTGTTTAGTTCATTTATATATTTGAAGTAGGTTTTCAAAAAACATGTTATACCATTCATAAATGTGTTTTTAATGAAATTCAAAACACTAGAAGAACTGAATCAATAAATTAGTGATATCAACCAAAAACAATACTACTCTGCACCACCATGAAGTTAAACCACACAATAATTTAAAGGGCAAAGAGTATGCAATTCCTCTTTAAAGTCATGAAAAAAAGATCATAAATGTATTTATAATCAATACAAAAGTTGATGTAAAGGCTTAATAATTTCATATTGGAAATCCACTTTTCAAAATTGTGAACATTTGTACAAGCTTATTCATAAAAACAAGAAATATTGTAAACATTCATAAACACTAGATAAATATCTTACCCATGAGATTCCTTGTCAATGTTTGTCACCAGATCAGGAGGTCGCAAAGGAATACGCCTTCCTGGCTGAGGCCCAGGTGGTGGAGGTTGAGGAGGAACTGGTCGACGTCCTGCATTCGAGCTGCCTGAATCTGAGTAGCTGCCACGTAGAGTGGGTTTATCAGCAAATGGATTGATGTATTCTGGTGGTAAAGGTGGGGTAAAAAATGAACGCTGTGGAGGAATGTATGAAGGCACCTCACGAGGAACAGCTGTAGTGTGGAGGTGGGAAATAGTTTTAGGAGCCATTAGTGGAGAAAGAGTAGTATTGTGCCGGGCAATTGATCGCAGAGGAGAATTGGACTGGGTAGTATCCTGTGTAGAATGAACAAATTGAGGAGAAGGTGGAGTGGAAGACTTGGTTGCTGCAGTAGGTAGAGAAATTCTAGAAAATGGTGGAGCAACAGTAGTTGGTGAGCCAGAAGGAGGGAAGTGTTTTGAAGAAATGCTTCTTTTAGTCGTTGTGATGCCACCATACGACACTTTGTTGAACACAGCAGCGATATCCTTTTCAAGCAAGCTTCTATCCAGGTAAGAAATGTCAGTCCCAGCAGAAAGTGTTGTCAACCATAACAGCACTAACAACAGTACTGCCATTTTTCAATGGAGTCGAGTAAATCACTGGAGAAAATGCCAATAGATGCACTTCATCCTTGCAGTTTTCGGCTTGCTACATCTTCACTACTATTTCAGCAACTTCTGAAACAACATCATTGCCAGAAAACTTATAGTTAGAATAATGTGTAAGATATGAGAGATCACACTAAATGTTGTAAAGAATTATATACATAAAAAAAAATATTACACGAAGAGAAAAAAGACTTCTTGAATAGCATTATATTGGGGTACAATCTATTCACTATTTCTTTCACAGATATCTACGCAAGAGCACTAATAGTAGTTTAATTTATTAAGTTTTAAGGGAAAATTATGTAATACTGAAAAAGTTGAAGTATACTTAAATTTCAAATTGAATTATATCACTAATATAAGCAACTACACAAGTAAATTTCAGCAATTGAATAATTCACACACAAAACTAATATTATAAACTATTATTGTACTACGATATGTTGTATCAAGAACCATACACAAAATAAATAACTACAGAACATTAAATTCCTAACAACTAATAAAATCAATACACTAAATACACTAGAGATACGTTTTTACACCAAGTGGATAAAGAAGATCCAATTGCTTTACAATGATGTGCGTGTGTGTGTCCCTATATGCTGCCGGAGTGTGTGCATGTGTACAAAATCCTGTTCACAGGCAGGGCGCACACATGCATTCCTGTTTGCAGGCAGGGTGTGGGTATGGATGCGCGTGTTTGTGTTTCTGTTCGCAAGCGGTATCTGTGTGTCCCTTTTTGCAAACGGTCTGTGTGTGTGTTCCTGTTCGCAGGTGGTCTGTGTGTGCGTGTTCCTGTTCGAAGGTGGTCTGTGCGTGTATGTGCGTGTGTTCCTGTTCGCAGGAAGTCTGTGTGTGTGTGTGTGTGTGTGTGTGTGTGTGCGCGCGTTCCTGTTCGCGGGCGGTCTGTGTGTGTGTGTGTTCCTGTTCGCAGGCGCTCTGTGTGTGTGTGTATGTGATCCTGTTCGCAGGCGGTCTGTGTGCGTGTGTTCCTGTTCGCAGGCGGTCTGTGAGTCTGTGTGTGTTCCTGTTCTCCAGAGAGGTTCGCACGCGCGTTCCTGTTGGCAGGTGGGGCGCGGGCGTATTCGTATTCCTGTTCGCAGGCGCAATGCACGCGAATATTTGTTCGCGGGCAGAGAGCGAGAGCGAGCGCGTGTGAATGTTTTTAAGAATGAAATCTACTCCAATATTTCATGTTAAATAGTAATTTTGTTTTTGCGTTTGACAAGAATGGAATAACTACATAAGTTAATTTTACTAAGAAATCAGTTCATTACATAGTAAAATCACAATGAATAATATAATTTGTTCATACAAATTCAAGTAGATCCAAAACACACTTTATAAATCATTTTGGGTTGTTAGCTTTCGTTAATAAAAGGGTACTATTATATTTGAATATCAAAAGATTCACAAACTTTAATAAAGAGTTATTTATGGGAGAATATATAGAAATGTGCCTATACTACATAAAACTTTAGTGACTAAACCCTGTCCCACATAAAATAATTTACCTACATTATCCGTGAAATAAAGATATCAGTTGACAGTGAATATTCTTCTGCTGTACTTTTTCAACATATTTAATGGTAAATTATTTCACAAGAACATAAAATTTTGACTGTGATAGTAGAAGCCCATGACATTCAACCAAAGAATTCTTGGAACCATTACACCAATTACGTTATAGTCTAGTTTAATGAATTACACTGCTTCAAAATTCAAAACAATATTTTAAAGAGTATTATGATCCAATCCAGTTCAAGAGGTATGAAACTAGACCAAAAGGCAGTAAAAAACAAAAATGCTTATGTTTTACAGAGAAATCTCGGGCATTATGATTTTTTATGTGATCTTTGGGGAAAGGTTAATAATAAACCTTCAACTTGCTCAGTAATTTTCATAATCAGAATGATCTTTATTCTTAAATTTATCAATTTCGTTTAATGTCAATTCAATTATCAGTAAATTAATATCTGATAACTGAAAACTTTTTCATTTTCATAATAAATATCTATTTCAGTTTATCACAAAATTAACTTCACAGAAAAAGTTTATACTCATTATAAAAAATTAAAGTACATAGAATGATTTCAAAATGGTATACATTTTTAATGTACACACTAACAATATACTAATTTGTGTGTTATTGAAAAAGGAAAATCTGTGCACAAAAATCATTTGTATTTCATGTGTACAAGATGTACATAAAGATCCTTCCACACATGTTGTGAATTATTGAACAATTTTCAATTCTGAGTAACTGTCCGCCTAAAAAGTAGAACATTTAAAAATATTAGTCATGGTTCAATCACTGAAAACAATTATTGATATTTAATTAAATGAACATTCATCAAAATAATAAAAAGATAATTCTAAATTTCAGAACTAACACATCAAAGCCTACTAAGTGCCTAATTCATTAATTTTATGTACCTTTCACCCTGCCTTTTCCATATAAAAAAAATATTGAAAAATCCAGACTTTGACAATTTTGCCAACTAACCAAGAAATGCAATTTGCACTGCATAAATGATTTACAGGCATAATGACTATTGAACTTTGAATCCAAAAGGACCCAAAATATAAAGTTGTCTTTAATAGTTGAGTAATTTGTTCTAGAAAAAAAAGAAAATTATTGAAATTAGACAACATATTTATTGAAATTATTATTTTCTTTTGTAAATCGCAGAAAATAAAAATCTTGGACAAAAACATTGATTACTTCTCATACATATACTACTTATTAATAGCTCTAAAACTAGAATATTTTTTTGAAACAATTTCTGATCAAAATTGTTGCATTACATTTTCAGCAAGCTCCCCTTCTTCAGAAATGCATATTAACAAAAATTACCTTCCACAAATCTTTTGAGAACAAAATGTGGCATTTGAGTTAACACATTAATGACACACTTTTTGTCAAAATTCAATGAATATGTTTGTTTTTTCATGAAATTGTAAGCAATTGATATTTACATCTGTCAATTATTGTTATGATTTATTTTTCTCAATCACAAAAGTCAAAAATTAAATTTTATATAAAAGAGCACATTTCATATTCATTTGAACATGGAAAACTATAACGATACTTCATGCATTACCCATGCTTCGTGCACAAACATTAATACAGCATTATGAAAGCTGTTATTGCAGTTCTGCTACCAAGTTTACAGATTAACCCAATACAGCTCATGTCGAATTTCTGAACAGGAATGCTCACACTGGGTCTGCAAGACCCAGGGATTTCTTTTTATTACAATAGAAATCCATGGGAACTGGTTATAAAAGATAGGTATCATTTACATTGTATTTAGAGTGCAATTATTACATATAAACACAGAGAAAAATATGTAAATTAAAGATAATTTGAGTAACGTGAAAACGTGTGTCAAATTGCAAATTCAGATTAGAATGTTTGCAAATTAGTGCAAAAATTATTCAACCCTGCAATTTTCCAATCGAAATATATTCTTAAACTATTGCTGAAAGCTTAAACAAAAAAAGTTTTTAATATTTATTATAAAGACATTACAAATCTTTTCTTAAGCTCTCATGACAGAACAGAAATGTGCTCATAGTAAAAAAAATTGGAACAAATATATTTGCATTAGGAGCAAAAATACTGAAGTTTTTCTATCTTTTCCTTCAAATTCTTAACACAGGCCTCTTTACCTTATCTATGGAATTTGTTTTTTTTAATTGCAAACCACTAAATTTGTCTCAAATACCACTTGGAATGTTGCCAGAAACTGCACATTCGAAGAGCTCATCTCTGAGAAATTCAAGACACAGATTCTTGAAAAATAGAGGCACATAAATTTCCAAGTTATGGATGCAATTAGAAATTATGAAGAAATAAAAGCCAGAGATATTTATCATCATGTAGTTTATATCTTGAATGACTAGCGCAACTCTAACTCATTTCAACTCCTTTCCTCTTTAGTATACTTTTTTAGGGTACATTACCAGTGTCATCTTCCCTTCCCTATAAATCATCTTTATGTTCATATTTACCTATTTGAACTTAACTTTAAGTATTCAATTCCGAACCCCCAAGAAGCTGACATTTTCTCTTCCTAAGGCAGATTACATTCCATAAAACTTATTTCAATTATATATTTTTCAGTTAGTTAAAACATAATTGAGAATTTGATAAAGTTATTACAACAAATGATATGGCTAAACTTCCAATTAATAATAAAAACTCACTTGGAACCGTGTTTGCATTTTGTTACACCAATGGTTACAGCGGATCTATAGGACCCAGGATGATCTATAGGATACAGGATGAGGAACATTTATTCCTCAAAAACGTTACAAAAATGTCATTGCTTTGAATATAATAATATAATTCAATAATATAGGAAGGTATATAGAACAACAGATCTCTATTGTGTAGCCTTCTAGTGGAGAAGCAATGAATTAATTCATCTGGGACTCAAAGAGACCCAGCAGGAACTCTGCTGGGTTAATATCGTGTCAAGTATAGCAAAATATTACCATTATCAGATATATCACAAAGACCTACTGTAAATTCAGAAGAAAAAAATTACCTAACATATTAGTATCATTTAATACATTTAATAAAAGGTAGGTGTAAAACCTAAGGTCACTCTTCTCTAAACAAAATGAATGAAAATTGTACAAGATATCCAAGGAACAAAATTGACTAATAAAGGAAATAAATTAATGTTCGGTATAGTCTAATACCTATTAGACATAGAGACAAAAGTACCCAGAAACCAGCAATCCTTAATTTTTCGTAATTGGTCATTGTCTTTCTTCTGAACTATTTTCCAGTAATACATATAAAAACTGACGTATGGTTAGTCAAATATAATCACATGAAGTTACATTATAGTATTTATTAACAAACCATCATGATACTATCACTAATTATCTTTTCTCATTTATTTAGCAACTGCAATAAGCAAGAACAAGTACATATTAGTCCAGCAAATAGCATCTTTGGTAAACCTTTAACCCAATTAATTCTGTCATCTTTAACTCATAACAATGAGTTGATTAGAATATCCAACCCTCAGGCTCACAAAAATTACCGAATTCTGATTGTACAATCTAGCAAGTTAATAATGGAGTTTCATAGAAGTGACTTTGCTGACATGAAATTTTCTTTCTCATGAAAAACAATTTTCAAAAACGGAAAGATTTAAGAAAAGTTTCAAAATGAAATAGAAATTGCAAAACTACTTCATAATCACTCATTGTGAATCTATACATTCAGCCCATTCTGCATTCTTCTCCATTACTGTTAGCACCACACACCACAACTACCACTATAACAGTGAACATTGTTAATAATGAAATCATTAATAGTAGTGGAACTAGAAATAAAAGCTCCGATGAAAGCTCAATAAAGGACCAAAAAGTTGTCTTAATATGTGAATTATTCGCTTCATACCTACACTGTAATAAATGTAACTTCCAATTAACCTTCCCCATAGCACGTCACACATTTTTTAACTGTTTTTGACATAAATAAATAAAACAAGAAACATCCCATTATATAAAGTTTTTCATTCTCGCAAAAATTTACAACATAGTATACTTTGGATAAAAAATGTTGTCCTTAAAACATTGTGGAAACAATTTTGGAGCTACCTGCATTTACAATTAGAATTTCAAAAAAGAACTTGAGTGAAACTAGTTAACTGCACTCAAGAGGATAAAGGCTTTCTATTTACACATTATGTTGTTGTTTTTTTTACTTTGTTCAATGCAGTAGACAAGCAAATAGCTTTATCCACACAAGTGTACTCAGAAAGTGCAATGAAAGGAAAAAAAATCTTGACACTGACTTTTTTAGACAAAATTTAACTTCCAAAATGTTTCATGATTTTCTGACATTTTCCAACTGTTGGCTATCCTGAGATTGCTACTTTTAAACACCCAACAAATATTTCAGGTCAACAAATATTTATAAGATAAAAATCTGAGATTAATTCTCTTAGAACTCATCTGTTTCTTTAATATAGGATGTTCTTAACATTTTCACTTTACTTCAAGTGTTCTTTTTATTAATGAAGTTATGGTTTCTAACACTATCCCATTTGGCCCAAAAAGGATACTACTTGAATTTTTTTTTACATTTTCTCTCACAAGACACTTTTTGATACAAAACTTGTTTTGTTAATAAAATCTCTCTCATATCTATCATACACAGTGTTATCAAAAATTCATTCCTATTTTCCACCCAGAAAATTCTTACTTCCAGAAGGTATTCATCATAATGTAATAAAGCAAAATATTACTGACTCACTAATTACTTTGCAAATACAAATAGAACCAAACCACCCCACTGATTTCTCCTGCAACCCAGCATACATACCTAAGCAACAATAAAGTTTGGAAACATAAGAAACAATAGCAAAATAATTTTAATGAATATTAATTAGTGATGAGCATTATTCTGAATTTCTCTTTAGAACAATCTGAAACCTATTAGCCGACTAGTTATTTATACGATTCCAGAAGCAATTGTATTAATTATTATATTAAGCAGTTCATAAATAATACCCAAAAGCTACCAAAACACAAAATGAAACAGATTAATAATTAATAAGAAGCCCACGTAAAAATGTATCCCAAGTTACATTCGCGTTCTTAAAGGTGACAATGCATTGATCATCCAACACCAATGTTTGAGACTAATCAGCGAACTGCTTCTCAAACACAACGTACTACACAATCCAGTCCACAATGCTTTCTGTTACTGGATTATAGTAATAATATTTCAAAACCTACCACCAAATCCAAAGCAAACCACATAGTCCAAGTGAAAAAAAACAACAATATGAAGCGACATCTCTAGTAGACACACAAAATCTTGTTATAATTATTATCCTGACAACATTTCAATTTTCCACAAAAATAGTCACATAAGAATTTTGAATACTCACACATTCTTGAAGTGTGGTGGTGAGAGGAGATTCACAGAAAAATCCCCCAACAGCCCATTCAAGTGCCTTGTATCACAACAGAAAGCATTGCAGTTTTGATCACAAAGTTCAGATCTCTCAACTGAAAACAACAGTTCTGAATTAGAGGAATCATAAATGTTGTATCATAATGGTATATAAACCTCAGTCACAATTCCATTCATAATTTAGTTTATGTAAGTTCTAACAAAAGAGGTATTGTAAGAGTTGAAAATTATATTTCAAAGATTATCATATGTTTGGAATTTAAAACCCATACAATGAATAATAACACCAACTATTACAATCAGTTAATTCACAATTTGCAATGAACACAAACACTTGATTCTTAATATGAAAAAAATAAAATAATTCATCCAAAGATTCACTACTATCACAGTGTACAACACAGCCATCGTTTACATTCACATTAAATTACCACTTTGGCGCTCTCAAAACTCAACTTCATGGAAGATCTCTAGGTCAACTTAGTGCACCCCAGACAGTAATAACTACGTATTTTTCCTCAATGAATGACCCTCCCACTAGTTTTTCATATAAAAACAACGTCTGTATCCATTATATTACACCTGGGAACAAACACGCATGCGAGTACGCAAACAGTACCTCCCAAAACTATTCCCATTCAAACAAAAGAACAAGTGTCACAAACAATTGTCCGAGATTCGAGTATTATATCCATTTGCAATTCAAGAAATCACTTGTTACGATGTTTTCATTCACTATTCAGCTAAAACAAACATGAAACACATCACACTATAGGAAATATGTTTCGTTCTTTGTTGGGAACACATACTTGCCAAATGTCAAAACCGAGCATCCTATATATCACCACTCCAAGTTACAAGGATTAACTCTCCATTCATATCATATTTTTGACACAGAGAATGCTCACAAATCGCACAAGGTGCGACAAACAACAGTCCAACATTTGTTTAAGGATAGTAGAACAATGTTATAATTTTATTTCTACCGAACCCAAAACTTCGTCACAACGGCCATTTGCTGCGATCTGCACAGTATGTATTCCATGGCCGCTTTCAGTAACCATTTTACAAGTCAAGAATTTACTCGGTGAACGGTGTTCCATTCGACCGCATTTGACAACGGAACATGAGTACAAAATCAAGAGAACATTCTTCTGGCAATAATAACTTTCAGATCGACACAAGGTCACTTTCTATATAATTTACAACTGTTTGCAACACCATTTGGCATAGATTTAATCAAATATGATAAAAAATACGAGGGGTGAAAAACTAATAAATAACGCCAGCCTTTACTTTCAATTAACGATAACATTTTGATAATACGTCCGGAAAACAGCAAAATTACAAAAATGATCACTAATCTTTAAATGCGTCAAATTTCCTATAATTACGCGAGGCTCGCCTTAATGACCAAGACGATTGCAGCGGCAACAAAATAGGTCTTCCAAGTTCAAGACCCAGTTTACGCTGAACTACCCTTGTCCAAGTTGACGAGCATCCGATTAACCTACCGAATCTATGCAACACATTTTTAACGCTTTTCTGCCGAAATACTTTGTCTTTTAACATCAAGGCGCACGGAGATCATTTGTTTTCAAGGAACGATATTAAGGATTTGTCAACCCCAAAAGACATTACTTTGGATTCGCAAATTTATTACCACGATCGAAGAAATATATCAACATCGACTAGTTCTTTAATTTACTCCTTCGCAATGCTCAACTGTATTGGTATTGTGGAAATCACCCTTCCTTGGTGCCCAGAGAATAAAGTAGAAATAGGGTAATTCTGCTAACGTTAGTGTTCCTTTCGACTATGAACTGCATAATGAAATCGCATAAATTAAATTCTGGAAATGAAAATGTCAATTCCGTTGTATATTACATATTCCCAATAGTACGCCCCACTTACGTTTGTTTATATCACATGTTTGTGTTGCAAAATTTCCAGCTATTGTCGCACGCAACCAACACGATAGAATTATACCAGTAATATTCTTTCGTTGTCCGCAACGAACGAGACCGGGAGTTGTAAGACGAGAAATGTGATACATCAAAGAAAGGACCACCTACCAGCCCCCACAGACTTGACAGTTTCTCGCTCGCCTCTTCAGATGTGAAAGAATTTTTCGCTCACATCGGCCGGCGAGCGAGTTTTCTCGGATGAATTTCTACTCCTTCAGTTGTTTTATGAAATTTAGGCGCGCGCAGCCCATTGTACAAAGCGATTGAACTGGGCAAGGTTATTGAGCAGTGAAAAGTGAGATGACCAATCAGTTTCTTGAATTTCTCTTGATTTTTTCTTTAAACAGAAATGGATGAGAAAAAACTTGTGCTCGAAATTACAATTACTTGTATAAAATACATACTTGTAATGAAAAATGTGAAGGAAGAAACCTCATTTAAAAGGAGCCCCGGAAATGTATAAAAATGTATTTCCTTCAATTCATTTTAAAAATATTTAACTGTAGTTGAAATATGATTTACTTAACAATATATTATTAATTAATGATTATAACAAATAAGGAGAACTTTTGTTAGAAATAAGGGCCCCCATGGATCTACTGCCCCACGCCCCTTGTTTTCTCAAGACGCCCCTACGTGTTGCAGATACCATACTTTGTGCTTGGTGTTTAAAAGTCACGTAATGACGCTGTCAGTTGTTTCCCAGTGTCGCGCAATATTAGCAGCAGCTTTTCGAGTGACGTAAGTCTACTCTTGCAGTGGCGGCTCGTCCACGAGTTTCAGTGGTTCAGTGAACCCATATCAAATTCCGTGAAAATATAAATAAATATTATTTTGTATACCTTAGTAGGACTTTTCAGCAGAAAATTTTGTCAATTATTTAGATGACAGCATGACGCGACATGTGATGTTCCAATACACCGCGTCCTGTTCGCGCGCAATGGCTTCGGATTTTCACTCAGCGGAGGGATCCCGCCCCCAGTTGCAGTGATGTGAAATGAGGGCGACGTAACGCACGAGGAAAGAGGAGATTAGCGAGAATCTAGGCATGGGAGCGAGTGTCTCCGCTAGCTCTTATATCGAAGACCATGAAATCTGTAAAACGTTTTGTCAATATATACCCCTTTCAAGTGATACCTGCTGAAGGCTAAATTGTGCCATATTTTTTAATGAAAATACACGTTACAAAAGGGTTGAAGCACGAACTTCAAATCTACAATATTGCTGTGGGATAACTTTGACTATACTTCTTCTCTTTGAGTGTTTTCTGAATACGCTTCACATTTTTGATGTTCTACATGTTTTTGCACACACCATTCAAAGTTTTTGGGTCTTTGAGGTCTCAATTTTCTAATAAATAATATAGGACGCTGTTGAGAAGACTTCACAGACCAACCTTCAATGAACCACGAGGTATGAGCAGGCACGTGATCGTGAATTTTGCATCTAATTGATTATGGATATATAGACACGTGGACATGTTCTTTATTGCATGCAACAACGCTTTGGACATATTAGATTTTGCCTCGTATGTTTACGAGTAAAGTTATCAGGGACACATTTTTGTTACATCTCCATATCCGGACAGAAAATACAGCAGACAGTCATTAGTATTATTGCAACGCTAACACATTTTTTTCCTCCGATGGACATGTGTGCTTTCGTGTGAACGCTCCTCATATATGTATGCGCTTCACAAACTGTGATTTTTGTGTTCAAGAGTACGTGTAGTGATTGATAAATTATTGAACTATGTTGAAAAAGTTATAGTTCGTGTACGTATACATTCGACTATGTATTAAATATTTTATTTAATACATAGTATTGCAGTATAATTTCTAGGCCAATGACCCCATCTCGATCAGGTTTTGTTCAGTTTCCCTGGTCTCTTGAGCAGCAACTAATAAACGGTGACGGAGAACTCACTGACAGACATTAAGATGAAATTCGTTTGGATAAGTGCAGGAGAGTGAATATCATTTCGCGGTCATATCCAAGTTATAAATTTGAAAGCTGATAATGAACCAAAGATTACCTCATTCGAAACCCCATGAAACTAACAAATACTTGGGTTTCCAACAAGTCACTCCGAACCAAACACCTGTTACTAAGAATATACTAACAAATGAAGTGTGTAATACGATTTGCGACTGGGCTCTTAAAACTCAACTCTCTGCTAGAAAACCTTGTGCAGGCATTAATTCATTATGTTATTCCCAGTCTGACTTACTCTTTGCGTTATTAAATGGAGCATGACTACGTCGAGCTCGACACCTCAGCAAACATTCGAACCGCTTATGACTCAACCTGAAGAGACATCATCCCCATTCAAGACTGAGCGTTTTACCCTCCACGGTCGCAAGGAGGGCGAGGTAAATTTTGTTAGATTCTTCCATTTAAAAATCTTACAAAACAAGGCTTCTATTGCTTCACCCAGAAATACTTCTTTGAAACATTGTGGGAGAGTTCAGCCAAGCAGTGAGCGCAAGTTGACAACCTATAGTCTCTGAACTTGAAAAAGGCTTTGGAAATCCCCGCCTTTCAACCAATCATTGAAACGGAAGAGAAGATACCTTATGGAAAGCAAAAGGCACTGCATGGAAGGTCCCCCTCATGAGCTGAGAAACAAGAAGTCGACAATTCTGCGGTCGCACGCATAGGCCTGCCAGCACGGGGGATCTCTTTTCCGGAAAGAGACAGAAGCCTTTCATATAGCTATCAGGACCAAGTGGTACCCACATTAACTACAGAAAACCACATTGCTGAGAGATCTACCACTCATTCCGGACTCGTTAGACGATGTAGGAGGCTGTCCAAGCGAAACTATCCAACATGTGACAAGTGATGTAGCAGCCACCACGAGGTGGAATACAAAAAGAGGCATGATGAAGTGGCGAAACAGGTACACCAATTATTGGCTTGAAACGGCTTACTCGCCACTCGCGTGCCGTATTATAAATATGTGCCTCCAGAATGTGCTTGAAAGTAGTGAGCAGCACTACTGCTACTGATCGTTCCATTATCACTGACAGACATGTCTGGCGGCAATAGACCCGATATACGTACATCTGATGAAAACCAAACAGAGATTTTCCTTATCATATATCATACCCAATACCCACAACATATCGGAAAATATCAAGAGAAGATCCAAAGATACAATCTCGCCTTATGATAGTCCAACTCAGTGAACTCAGTAAAGTGACGATTGTTGCCTATAAATAATATCAGCTACGGAGTGATCCCGAAAAATGACACTTCGGGCACTGGAGGTGTCTTCACTTGGATACCAGAATGTCATATAATATCTGCAAGAAGACAGTAATTTTGAATACAGCCATATTGTCCAGAAGCATCTGAACCTCAGTAAAGCAACCATAACTGTATCATACCTGTGTGGTGTGACACACCGACGCAGTAGATACTGTGAATAATGTAAACAACAACAATAATAAAATTAATAATAATAATAATTTATAATACCATTATATCATTATTATATATTATTATTATTATTGATTATTATTATTATTATTATTATTATTTATTATTATTATTATTGGATCACATATAGAATTACACTCGTGTACGACGAGGTTCATATGATGTCTTTTTGAGGTGGACGAGAGCGAAGTTACATTACTGTTAGTGAGCAAACCGAAGGGCCATCTCAGCATTTGCTC